AACACGAGAAATTTTACAAAGGAAAAAAGCCAAATTATTTTCATTTATTTTCACTTGTGTGTTTAGATTCTTTGGATTCACTTGTATCCAAAGACGTGTACTAGTGCATAACCTTAAGGTCGTACGGTGCAAAAAATAATATCTAAGCAACTGAAGGTATCTTGAATAAAAGAAAAGCTGTCTAATATTTCTCATTATCTCATATCATGATTGTTATATAACAAATATAAGACCATTAAGCCTTTTCCTAGACATATTTACTGATTTCAAGCTTAAAGTCGTATTATTCTTTTGGCGGATAATTTTGCTTCTTTCTAGAATTAAACGCTTGGAATGATCTGCTAATAGAATGAAACAATTCCAAGCATGAAATTAGTAAAAATGTCTAGAAATAGGCTTAATGGTCTTATATTTGTTATATAGCAATCTCATAATGAGAAATATTATGTAACTAGCACTAGGCATAATAATCTTTTTAATTTGAATCTTTTTAACCATAATTTGTTTAAAGACAATCTAATAAAGGGTTGAATTGGTTGAATTTGCCTATATTCAGCATAGTTTTACTTGCTCAGATAGCATTTTTTGCATTTTTATTTTCAATGCTCGAGAAACTGCTTAAGATTTCCTAGGAGCTCTGGTACTGGATGACTGTTTTGTGCTGTAGATCAGGGGTTCTCTATCTTTTTGTACCTAGGCACCCCTTTAACTCTTTAAGATAAATTCCACAGACCCCGACAGTATGGATTTATTTCATGAACAATATTTTAGATTCTTCAAATGATATTTTTTGAAGCACAGAGCTTTCTCTTCCTGAAATTTCCACTGACCGAACACAGGTCTGAGTTGACTTTGGTGCTTGGACCCCTAAATATAATAACTTTGATAATGTAGGTTGTGATTTCTACCACTGTAACAAAATAAAAAATATTAAAGGACCTCCTGGCTATGCTTCATGGATCCCATTTTGAGAACCATTGCTGTAACTAGTGTTAGTGTATATCTATCCAGATGTGCACTGTGTGTGTGTGTGTGTGTGTGTGTGTTGCATCTTGCATTTGTTTTGTTTTTTTAGATTTGTGAGAGCAGGCACACACACACACACACACACACACACACACAAAGGTAAATCAACCAGATTTATGAAACTTCGTTGTCTGTCAGCAGCTAGCCTGTCATCTGTGTGTGTGTGTGTGTGTGTGTGTGTGTGTGTGTGTGTGTGTGTGTGTGTGTGTAAGATAAGGGCCCTGGAGTTAAAACAGATGGATTTACTACACTAATGCTAATGTTTTGGTGAACACAAACACACACACTCATGCGTGCACACACACACACACACACACACACACACACACACACACACACACAGAGGCTTGGTCCAAAGTTACCCTGTCATCATTCCATCTTAAATCAACAGATGAAGAGATTTTAAAGTGCTTTTAACTTCAGATGTGAAGTCCGTTTATCATTCATAGCACATTGTGATAAAGATCAGCACTTTCTAATGCCAGTGTGTGTGAAGTTCAGTCTTCAAAGCAGAACTAACCACACCTCGTTACATGGCCACAGAGGAAACATTCCAGTCATTACATGTCGTCATTCTTATTTGGTCAGCTCGCGCGCACACACACACACACACACACACACACACACACACACACACACACACACACGGAGGATATTAGGATTTTCAGGCTGTCCATCATTTAAATAAGGGGGCAGGGTAGAAACAGTAAGTAATAATAGGTAAAAGTGCATGTTTTGTGGTTTTGTGGGGCAGAGAGTGGGGCAGAAACAGCAAATCAGAACTACAAAACCAAAAACATAACAGCAAATTCAGAAACTCGACAGCAAAACCAAAAACACAACAGCGTTAACTCAAGACTCAAGAGTTACACCCTTAAACTGAACAAAATAATTCTTAGATCATCATATTTAAATTAAGGACAGAATTTCCACGTAAGTAAAATATGTAAGTAAATTTGTAGGTAAGTACAGGTAAATGGCAGATTTATGTTAAACTCATTCAATAGAATTATGTACATTTAATTTATTGTAGTAACACGGACATTATATCAACATGTAAAAACTACATAAGGCCATAATCACTTTTTAGAGAGTGTCACATACTCGTTGCTGATTGGATGTATAGTGTATGACTGTGAGAAAAAAAAAGAATTGACTAGCGAAAATGATTTAACGAGAAGTTAGTTATGCTATTATAGCGAGGAGTATAGCCTATCATCTGTGTGTTTGTGTGTGTGTGTGTGTGTGAGAAGGGCCCTGGAGTTAAACCAGGTTAGCAAAAACAAGTAGTAATGCTGACAATTATGAGAAGTTAGTTATGTTATTATAATGAGAAATATTTTTTATCTATTGAATAACTCAGGTTTCAGGGTTCATCAGTAGATTCATTTAGGCTGATATTGTCTTTTAATGTAGACATCCTCTAGCTCTCCGTTTTCCGTGGACTCTCTAACCAACACGTGCTGCAGCCAATCAGCAACGAGCATGTGATGTACAGTAAGGACGTATGTTTTCCAGTTTGTTAATGCTATTGTGCTTTTGGTTTTGCTGTTGTGTGTATTTTGTACTTTCTGGCCACAGCAACTACATGCTACAGGTTTTTCTGGGCTGAAATGATTCTCTTTTGCGCATATCCTAACGGGATAGAACTTTCTAGCGTTAAACGCTGGTTACCTCTCAGAAGCGAAAAGGGAGAAGATTGCTTTTAGAGATTATGACTCCAATGTAGCGCAGGACCATGGTGGACATTTTGACAGCCGGTATCTGATCACAAACTCAATTCATCAGGCCATTTCCCTGTGACAGCCTGCTCAAAGCATGATGTTCACTGCGAGAGAAAATCACATTTAGCTAGCAAGGTTTAGGCAGAATGACTGTTTTTACCACCGTGTTTGTTAAACTGGGATCTTACATAATATGGTCTTTACAGGAAGAAAATCTAGGCAAGATTAAAAGTAAATAACACATTTCCATGTCATTTTATTGAAGTATTTATGGTTTCTTAAAGTTGGTGTCAAATTTTCTTATAGGCAGATTTTTTTATTAGATTTTACTCATACCTCATTTAAAGTGGAATGAGTGTCCCATACTACAATTTAAACTTGAATGTGAAACTACCGTACTTTCATTTTTTTTTTTTTTTTTACTTAACCTACAAATTAAATTAAAGAAATCAGTCCATAAACACTGACTCGGTGTGAAAGATCTCAACTGGATTGACTTATAGCTCCAGCCAACTGACAGTGCAGTATATAAACATTTTATAAAACTTTTTGTTTAAGTAACTTTTATGAAAGTAGTGGTTTCTGTCCTTCCGAATGCTTCAGAAGCCTGTTCGGACGGAAGCATATATCAGTCTAAATCCTTACCCAATCTCCTTACATTAACCCTGATCCCTGAACTCCTAGCCTCTGACATCTAACCTAGCCCCCGGTGTTTCAGCTTTTTGTTTTGTTTTGTTTTGTTTTGTTTTGTTTTTCCTCTCAAACAAAAGCTGCACTTTTTTTGTATAACGAAAAAAAGCATTTGTTTTTATATGGACCAGTTCATTGTCCTCAAAAGGTCAAATGTATCATGTTTTCTTATTATTATGGGATCATATCACAAATGGATAAAAAACCTGGAGACACACAAACAGACAAACACGCACACACACACACACACACACACACACAGACACACACACACAAAAGCAGAAAAAACACAAAAGGTACCATAAGGCCATTTATCAGCCAGTGTGTAGAAGAGTGATTCAAACAGCCGCGGTTCGAGTTTAGTGCTGTGATGTTTGTGTGTGTGTGTGTGTGTGTGTGTGTGTGTGTGTGTGTTATCTGATCTAATCTATATAACCTATATAAGAAGAACAAAGGGAATTCCAAGAATGAGCACTCATTTCCTTCACAAACCTGAACACATGAGCTCAGTCACACACACACACACACACACACACACACACACACACACACACACACACACACACTGTTTGGATTCTGGGAAGTGTACAGAATAGAATTACATGTTTTGGAGTAATTGCTATATGCTTACAGGAAGATTTGTGACTTTGCGTGTGTACTGTGACTTTTTTAGTGCCTGCTCATGTCGGGTCATGTTTGGACACTATACAGACGCATCCCTAAATATTTTTCATCCATCACACTCAGACAGACACGATACAAAGAGGACGCACATAAACACACACACACACACACACACAAACAGGTGCATCCTTAAATGTTATTCACACACTTATTCAGCCCATATTGCACAAATGCATTCTCATTATCTGTTAAAACAGTATGTAGTCGTTATGTGTGTGCATGTGACTTTGTTATAGTGGTGTGACGTTATCGTCTGAAACTGAACGCTGTTGAAGTGTTATGTCTTAAGGCTTTAGGTACTGTGCCACCTTTTATGAGCACAGTTTGACATTAGTTGTCAATACGACATTAGAGTGAATAAAACAAATATAATCTCTCCCTCTCTCATACACACACACACACACAAGCTCTCTCTCTCTCTCTCTCTCTCTCTCTCTCTCATGCTCTCTGTCTCTCTCTCCCTCCCAGGTTGCTCAGTTCGATTAAACCAGGCCTTGTGAAAAAGATCAACAGGTTGCCTACTCCTCTAGCTGGGCAAGTAAGTATTCCTATTTTTTTTTTCTTTTTTTGATCTCTGACCAAAGCATCAGTACTGGAAAAATATGCGTATATCTGCATGTCACTATGAGTAAAAGTGAAGTGACATGTGGCCAAGTATGGTGAGCCATACTCGGAATTTGTGCTCTGCATTTAACCGATCCAAGTGCGCACACGCGCACACACACACCGTGAACAGAACCCGGAGCAGTGGGCAGCCTTTTTTGCTGTGGCGGGGAGCAGTGGGGGGATCGGTGCCTTGCTCAAGGGTCTCACTTCAGTCGTGGTATTGAGGGTGGAAGAGAGCGCTGGTCATTCACTCCCTCCACCTACAATCCCTGACAGACTTGGGACTCAAACCCATGACCTTTGGGTTCACCTTCAGGTTATAAGACTGACTCTCTAACCATTAGGCCATGACTGCCCTTGCCCCTGCCCTTGCCCCTGCCCTTCCCTTCCCTTCCCTTCCCTTCCCTTCCCTTAGGAATTTATGGTTGGAATATAGTTGCTTTTAAATATGCATACGTATGTAGATGGCTGCCATGTGTATCCTGTGGTCCCTTGGAGAGTCACTTGTGCACAGCCTCAGTAATTAATGCTGCATATCTGCATAGTGCAATACCAATGTAAATAGTGGGGGCAGTATAGCATCATGTGACACTGTGTCCACAGTTGGCTAAACAAACTTGTGTTGTGTCTCAAATCAAATCAAATCGCATACTTGTGTACTATTCTAGACAGTTATTGAGTACAAACACTAAGGTTTTCCTATTATGGTTAGCGTTTACATTTTAAAAACCTCTCATGTATTCGTCTGTAGTCTTCTGTATTTTCTACATCTCTACATTCAAATGATTTTTCAATTTGAGACACAGCTCATGACAACAGTCACGACGATGGCAGAAAGTTTTAACAGAGCTTGTCAGTGTGTTTAAAATGCTGTGCATGAAATTGCTAAACATTTTACAGTTTGACTTGGAAACCAGACAGACAGGGGTGTTTTGGCTCTGATGTGGCTTCTAGTGGATTTCGCTTTTAATACTTGTGAACAATGTGAACAGTGAATAAACTGGCCTTTAAACTCACAGTAGCCGTGGCCTAAACCGGAAGAGGCTGGGTCTTAAGGTTGTTTTTAATCTGACCCATTAGGGGAAATAAACATTCTCTCTTTTCTTTTTAAGTTTTTTTTTTTCATTGACAGACTTAGTGTGGATTTATAGTTATACATGTTTTTTGTCTCATTTGTCTTATCTAGCTCCACTTAAAAACAGTTAGCACCTAATTATCAGTTCACAGGTTCCAAATTCAGACCCGCCCACCCATAATATTTCCGGGTTTTTCAGATTCTGTGACTGCGTGCTTTAACTCACTGATGTTGATAGGTGTTGGGTATGATGTTTTTATTATATCGAAAATATTATATGATATTATATTTTTATTATATTAATTTTAATCACTCGAAATCAACTCAAAGAACATTTCAGGTTTTCAAATGCATAAATAATGTGTACATTTGAATAGTGCAACAGTCAAATTCGTTCTGACAGCTTGTGCCGCTCTTTGACACCAACTCATTAACAATGCACACACACACACACACACACACACACACACACACACACACACACAGTAAGCTAAACTCCTTTAACAAAGTAAACTCCTGTTCAAATATAAGGACTCGTTCATAATAGCATTTCTAAAAAACTTGTTTTACTCTGTTTATGTGGAGCACAACAACTTGTGTAAGTTGTTACTACAGACATTATAGCGTATTAGAACGAGCACATTAATATTAACCTGTGATTTGAATTACAGCCGGCACTACTGTCAGAGTTGTTGTTAGAGAAAATTAACCAATACTTTCTAACCAATCAGATTTGAGAATTCAGCAGCACGCTGATATAAATTTGATAAATAAAACTGATAAATAAAAGTGCTTGTTCATACATTTGGACTAGTGTAACTAATGTAATTGAAACATCTCTGAATCATTGATGGAATGTGGTAGACTGGTGAAGTCTTTCTTTTTCCCTCTCCCTCTCTCTCTCACACACACACACACACTGTCATTGTGAAATATCCCATATCAAAGGAGAGGAAGGAGGAGAAAGTGAATGAGGCTGGAGCTTGTTCTCGTCTTCAGTTTCAATCGTCTGTTACAGTCTCATTTTTGTTGTCACATTCTTGTCTTCACATATGTTTTCCATCATTGTGTTGCTCTGCTCTTCCCTTCTCTGAGGATCTGTTACTTGGTTTTTCTCTCATTCCCTGCTTTCCTGAATTCTCATTCTTCATCCCTTCTCCTTTTCCCTTTGGCTGGGGATAAAAGCTCACAGTGACTACTTACCAGACTTTTCACTTGCACTTGGTTTATAATGCTGTAATACATGGAGTGTAACATAATGTCACTGTAGAATCTTCATAGTTCATTAAATGCCCAGTAGAATGCTGTTTGACATTTGGCAGTGGAAATTGTCACTTGAAGTATGTAGAAAATAAAACAAGATATGATGTGATGCTCCACTGAAATAAATCCAAAAGGCTTTAATCGCAGCATCAAGCAAGTACAGTATGTAGGTACACCTAGAATTATGTATGTTGATATACTTCTGATGGTATTTTTCCTGTCCTATATAAAAGAACACATACTATTAGTAATCAGAACGACATAAAAGCCCTGACCCTTTCCCTGAACCAGGAATTGCACTGTAGGCGAGCCACACGCTGGTAATGAGTCTGTGGACCTGCTGTGTCTATTATGACATGAAAGAATTTATATTTTTATTTATTTTATCCAGCGCAACTTCTGAGTGAGCAGGTTACAGCAAAATGCTTCGTTAAAGGTCTCAACAATATCAGTCTTTAGGATTTCATCTCACAACCAGAGCCTTGATCCTAACCACTGAGCTACTTCTAATCATTGCTCTCAGCCCTTTTAGGGAATTTTCACACCTATTAGTCTGTTTGCTGAGTCTGAATCAGAGTGAAATTATTACTTTTGGTTTGTTTGCTGTATTGTTTGGCTGGGTTTCACAGTTCACGTAAATTAAATGAACCTGAAAGCAACAAAACCTAGGGCGCTTTCACACTTTTTAGTCCATTTGTAGGATCTGAATCAGAGTGAAATTGATACTTGTGATTTGTTTTGCTCTTTGGTTTGGTTTGTTTTCTTACTTCGAAAAAAAACCTCTCGGGAGGTGTGTAGGGCTGAAATCTCATCCACTGGTCAAAAACAGGGTGATGCATAGAAATAAAAAAAAATAAATCACCTGGCAGAAAGAACACAAAGCCAGCGCTCAGAAGTTACTGCAAGTGCCCTTAGAGCTGCAGTTTTGTAACGTTCTATACTAGTATAACATATATTTATCATCTGTTTACATGTTCTGGCCCTGAAATTATTTTTTTATAACGGCACTCACATGGCCTACGTAGTTTGAACCAAAAAGGGTGATGTTAGAGAGCAGGAAGTAAAAGGCTTATCATTGATTTTAGTGCATTTGCAGTCTTTTTCACAGGCAGGAGGGGGCTATAAAAATTAAAAACTGCTCCTTTAAGAAAAAAAAAGCACATTGTTACCTAAAACATTTTGTATTTACTGCTAATGTTAGGATTTTGGCGTATGCATATTTATCTAATATATAATTCTTGGCAACTCTGGATATGTATACAAGATAGTGAGGTAAGTGCATGTTGTGTGTGTGCTGTCTTGTGTGCATGTGTGTATGCTTGTGTATAGTATAGTCCCTTGCTGGATGTTTGTTAAGAAGAAATCCACCCGGGTTGGCAGACTTGATCAGTATTTTCTGTCTACAACCTCTGGTCTGCTTTTCTCCTGTGATAAAAACTTATAGGCTGACAAATCATTTTTATTGCGTTACTGCTGAAAGAACAACAGAGCCTAAAAAATAGAGGAACGAAGGAAGCATCTTCTTCATGGGGTGTCATTTTGATGTGCAACTCCCTAGATTCCCCCACATCAGCTATTTTTAATTTGACCCCCACTGAAATCCTCCTTTGCCTCCTAAGTATATCCAATGCTGCTTGTTTACAGTGCGTTTTTTTTTTTTTTTAAATCAGTGATACAAGCGAAATCTAACTATTAATAATTTAACTTTTAGAGGTATTTGGCATATTCTAATCACTGCAAATCTGGCCCACATTCATAACCAGGTATGCTGGTGGCAAAGTGATGCAGCAGATAGAGTTGCTGCCTCACAGCGTCAGGGTTTGATCCTGAGCTCTGAGGGTTACTGTCGGAGTTCTGCCCATGTCCATGTGGAATCCTCCAGGTTTTCTAGATTCTTTAAAACCAGTAAATGTGAGAATATGTGATCTGAAGAGCTAGAAATCAAGGGCTAGGAAAAGAAAACTAGAAGACTAGGGGAACACAAAAAAACTTTGATCAAATGCCTCAAAACCTGAGGATCTGACATGGAAGTCTTTGTGCACAGACAAAAGAGCAGAAGCGTGACTAATCGGTAATAACTAGACAAAATTAGACAAATGAATCAATCCTAAGCCCACATTTAGATACAACAAGATCAAGAGAGTAGGTCAATTTTGCGGATCATGAAAGGTTTTATATATATAATTCTATATAATTCTATATAATCCTATTTCTTTTATTATTCCTAAGGTGTATATATAGTTATAGTTTTAACTTTTCTTTCTTCCTTCCTTTTCTTTCTTCCTGCACTTTAACTGTCTGTGAGCTGCTGTGATAAGTGAATTTCCCCACTGTGGGATCAATAAAGTTTATCTTATCTTATCTTATCTTATCTTATCCTATTTTATCTTATCTTATCAAAATCAAAACCTCAGCTTGAGCTGGTTTAGTCATCTTATTTTGTCTGCTTGATTAGGTTAATGTGCTGTTAAGACTGTGGCATTATGAAAATCTGAAATCAAGGAAATGAAGAGTGCGGGTGCTAAGGATGCCGCGGTTGCTCCTACTTTCAGGATTGTGTAACTGCAACTGCCAAATAATAATCTAATTTATGATCATTTGGTTGATGTAGTCACAGTATTAGCAGTCTGAACATTGCTGCCTACACAGATCACATTTCATAATGTCACAAAAAAGATTTCATACCAAAATTGCCATAGAATTTTATATATAGAGTAAGATGAATTTTTAAACATTTGCCCTGGTACCGAGTTTGCTTATATTTGTAACCAATACTTGCCTTCCTTACAGTACAGTTTTTCCTAGCTCTTTATGTATAGATTTGTTATAGAGCGCAATCCAAAGGTGCAAATCTTCAGCAGTTGCTCTGAAGCTCTTGTTAACTCATTTTAATGATTAGCTTCTTACTGGTATCTGTATTTTCCTTTGTTGAATTTATTGACTGCAAAAGAAAAAAATTTGGTTAAGAAATTTCTGAATTTCTTTTTCCTTCTGGCCCATTTGAATTAGGTGGGACTG